AAAAAAAAAAAAAAAAAAAAAAAAAAAATTGTTCTAGGAATTGTATATAAAGGAGAGTGGTAAAATAAGATTAAATTAGAAGATGAGGGCTACTATAAAAAACTATAAATTAATAAAATGTAGCATCTAAACCACTTTTTCAAATAGCACCACTCCTGGGTCAGCTGCATGCTGGAAAACTGTGTGATCAGTTTTTCCAAAGACCTTTGCCATGTAGAGTGGATTATAGGAGTGAGAAGGACAGAAACTTGGAGGCCCAGTTATGCTGGATGGTGGCTGGAACAGGAATAATGGTAACAACTGGGATAGACTCTAAATATTTTTAAGACTGGCAAGACTTGCTGATGGATCCAGTATGTCAAGAAAGAAAGATAGGGCCGAGGGATTTAGCTCAGTGGTTTGGTCACCTGCCTCGCAAGTGCAAGGTTCTGAGTTTGATCCCTGGTACGAAAGAAAAGAGAAAGGAAGGAAGAAAGAAAGAAAGAGAGGGAGGGAGGGACAAATCAAAGGTTACTAGTAAATTTCTAGACAACTGGAGAGTGCAGCCATTTACTGCAATGGGAAATACTCAGGTGGGTGTAGGTTTAAAGAGTAAAGTTAAGAGCTGTTTGGATATGTTAAGTTCAAGATGCCTCTTAAACTTTAATGAGGAAATGATAAGGTTGAAAAGTTTTGAGCTGAAGATAAATATTTGAGAATCACTTAACATATACATGACATTTAAATCCCTCATCTAGAGTGAATAAAAAGAAGGGTGCTGAGATCTCCAATGTTCAGGGGCTACCTGAGCAAAAGATAGGTTAGCAAAGGACAAAGGGGTAGGAAGAAAACCAGAAGAACAATGCTAAGGTGTATGAGGAAGTGGTCAACAAGCTGGAATCCCACTAAGGTCTGGGAAGGCAGGAACAGAGAGATGACTGGTGACAGGGCACCCGGTCAGGTGCAATCTCAGGGATGTGGGAGAAGTGGGGAGCCCAGCAGAGGACAGCAGACGAAGACAGACATATCTTCAACGCAACCATTCTCTCTTCTGATGGTCCCCTCGAACACAAACTGCATTGTGTTTACTTTTTTAAACCTGTTTACCTGCTTCTACTACATGACAAATACTTTCTTGATAGCAGGACCCACCCACGACCTATTCAGCTTTATATCTTCAATGTCTAGCTCTACGCCTGGCATATGTCAGAAGATGAGTAAAAATGTTGGACAAACAAATGAATGTTTGGTAGTTGTACCTCTGACTTATACCTCTTCATCTTTTAATGAAACATTCTCAAAATATTCAACTGAGTTTTTACTACATGGATATCTTTTCTGGTTCTCTGAGGCATTACAAACAAATGTAATCTTAAAATATGCTAGGTATTAGCACTTAGGTAAGCTTACTCAGATCCTAAAGTCTATCTACCTGTGAATTGCACAAGAAAGTTCAAGCACGGATTCACCCTTGAATAAGCTCAACGTTAAGTGAGAAAGTCTTGCAGTCAAGGTTAGCTCCGTGGATCATGAGCCATGTGTATGTATAAAAAGAGCCTTATGTACTTGTGATTATTTTACTTTGTTTTTCATAAGGAACTGTCAAAACAAACAAACAAAAAACAAACAAAAAAGAAATTAAAATATCAAAACACCAAAATAGGGGCCAGAGTTATAGCTCAGTGGCACAGTGTATATTTAGGTTTGATCTCCTAGTACAAAAATAAATGTGTGTGTGTATAACATAGTATATAATATATAGTATACACATTATATTAATATACCATAGTGTATATAACTATATGATATATATTATATATATTATAATAGTGTGTATATCCGAGTACAACAGAAATGGAGGTAATCTGGAAAAAATGAAAACACTGACCCTCTGAAGGCCTTAAGGAATTATATTACTTCAAAATGATACTTCAAATGTAAATCCAGGCACATATTATATAGAGTTAATACATTTCAATAATCAGTAGGGACAGAAATCACTGAAGGTCTGAATTTCATTTTAAAATTGGGTTATAGGTATTCATATTATCTATGCTCTATAATGGCTTTGAATTCAACTTAAGAGATTATTCAATAAAGGAAGTCTATAAAATACAAATTTTAAAATCCCTGCTTAAATTCAATTTTTAAAAATTTCAGCATTCCCCAAATCAACAATCTCCAAAGCTTCTGTAAAAGCTTATGATATAAGACATATAATATAGCACTGCTCTAAATATGCTTGCCTCAGACTCCTAAATATACCTCTAAATAGAAAACATTTAACCAAACCTAAATCTCTTGGTGATTACATAAAAGACTGAGTGAATGTTCACCAAAAAGATACTTATCATCTTTATCAGTGGCTAGAAATTTCAACTCAATTTTCTTCCTTTATAATCCTGTTAAATTTCTATAGATTCAATCAATCTCTACTGTTACATACAGTGTCCTAGTGTAGACTCCCATCATCTCTGACCGGGATCACACACTTCTTCCTAACTTGACTATTTTCTTCCATATTCACATTATAGTCATTCTGTACACCAGTGCCAGAATAATATGAAAGCATCTCTCAAATCATTCCACAAATCTACTTGG